AGCTCCGTCAGTCTGTAAGGCATGGTCCACTCTGCGCGGTCTAGCTCCGTCAGTCTGTAAGGCATGGTCCACTCTGCGCGGTCTAGCTCCGTCAGTCTGTAAGGCATGGTCCACTCTGCGCGGTCTAGATCCGTCAGTCTGTAAGGCATGGTCTACTCTGCGCGGTCTAGCTCCGTCAGTCTGTAAGGCACGGTCCACTCTGCGCGGTCTAGCTTCCTTCTCGTGTACTTGATTCTTTATAAAAGGTTTTGGTGCCGTCAACAAAATGTATGGAGGGCTTTTCAAACCTGGACCTTGATTCCAAATCCAGGCCTCGTTTTCATTTCTCCCAGGTTGTTAGTGTATAATTACTGATTCTGATTGGCCACAGAGATTTCACATCTGGCTGACAGGTAAAGGAAGGCTGGAAAATCAGCAGTGCTCGGACCTTGAGGACCGTGATTTGAATAGTGCTGGCATAAAGGCAGGAAAAATCGCTATATTACTGCAACACTATACACAATGGAAACTAAATATTAAGATTTTGTGAAAAATATCCCAATGATCACATGGACTAATTGTCAGTTTTTAAAGATGGATGATTCTGCCATCAATGTAGCTGTTTGGATAAGTACTGTGGCCCACAGAAGTAAAAACCCAATTATGGAGAATCTCTTTCATCTGCTGAAGCTGACCTTTGCCGTGAGTAAGCTAATCAACAGAGCTCCTCGTGCTGCCCGATAAATTCTTCCAACCTGCCTCCATTTCCTACAGTGATTGTGGTTTAGTCTAAATAAGATACATTTGACTCAATAAAAATAGGCAATCTGAGTATAACAAAGTATTACAAATGTAACTAATCTAAAAAGTATAATTCACTTTAAAAAGGTGGGAGTCAGTATGACACAGAGTAACAATAACTTGGTTCACCTACCACAGAAAGATTTATTTGTACTATTCTCTGCATTTTAAAAGACAACCCAAGTAAAAATAACATATATGGAATTATGCACTGATCAAAGAAGTATTAAACAAAATAATTTGTTGGTAGGGAGGGGGCAGCGCTGTGGATTAGAACCGGTTCAAATCCCGTGATCCTACCATCGGGCCCTTGAGTGTGGCCCTTAACCCTAATTGCTCCAGGGACTGGCTGATCCTACTGTCTCCTCTATGCCAGTTTTATGAGGTGGCCTACAGGGATGCTCTTCCAGCTGTCCTGAAGAAGGTCCCACATATGCCGAGTACTCATTGGACACTTTTCCTTCACTCTCTGCTCAGACTCTTCCAAAACCATTTCTACTGTGTTTACATCAGGTGGTCAGGTCATGTGATGCAACACTATGACTCTCCTTTGAAGGCGGCTTGGTGATTCCAAACTTTACACTCGTTTTGTTTGCGTGTGTGTGTGTGTATATATATATATATAGACACAGACACATACACATACAACACATAATGTAAATCTAGCATTAAATTAAATTTACACTGTTCTTGGTGTTAGGTACTGTGGCCTTTGACGTCTATAATGATACAGCGATCGCTCACATTTCACACACAAGACTTTCTTCAGTTTCTGTCTATCGTTAAACTGCCACTGGGTCTGATATCCCCTCTGATCTAAGCGGTTAAGGCTGATGCAAACCCCCCAATTTTCAGCAGCATGTGACAGACACCAGAAGCAGGTACAGAAAGCCAGTCAATACCAAAATAGATTTTTCTTAATTTTCCCATCAAGATCTACTTTCACAATCAGAGCCAGAACAAATACATTAAATGCGAAGTAAAAAAAAATAATGCCTAGATTGAAATAATAATTGGTGATTATTCCATCGCTTTGCTTTCATACAACTCTTAACTTAAGCAGATAAGAAACATTAAGAAACATCATTAGGAAAATAAGATAGAAGTATATTTCAGTGTACTGCCTTTGCAGTAGAATAGTGTTTGATGTTGCAATAGATAATGAAGTCATAATCATTGTCTGGGTAAACTAGGCGCTCTTTTACCCAAAAGGGTCATTAAAAGTCGTTCCTAATAAATTAGACGTTGCTTCACTACAGTTATTGAATGAGAACAGGCATATATTATAATACATAATAGCTACTCCAAAAAATCTGACACAAAACAACCCACTGACTTTCAAAAACCATTATAGCTTTTTATATCGTTGAAACCAGTTGGCTGTGATGAAATAATGTTCCGCAAATGGGAAAATAAGCAGGCAGACCTACATGCCATTCAGACCGCGTTTGATCTGCGCATTAAAACATCTGTAGATGAAACAGCTACCAATTAAGTAACTTTGGAAAGTCTCCCCGACCTCAGTATGCTCTGCCTGTGAAATGACAGCAGAAATTCTAGCTTTAGCTATTTGACTCCAATTAAAAAGAAATGCGATTCTAGTGAACTTGCCAATCACCCCCAAAGGAACAGATTACACAAGGTGCGGTCCAAAAATGATAATTACCTCAGCCAAAAAGTAAAGCGAGCACAGAGCATGTGGGATACTGTTAAAGAACTAGCCAAGCAACTAGATTTGTATCTCCTACTTAATGAAATAGTTTCTCAGAAACTGCAATGAAAGAGAAAGAGCTGCTACATGCTGCAAATACTTTATGTGCAAATGTCTGTTAAAATAACTTTTTAACTTGAATAACTGTTTGTCAAAATACGGAATGTCTCAGACCTTTAATACTTGTGTTCCTAAACCTACGAATAAAAGGTAGCGACGGTATAATTTTTTAAAATAAAATACATTTTCTCTCAAGTAATTTTTATTAATTTTGTCAAATTATGATTCATAACCCATGTCTGACAGCAGTTACTTAATAACCACTTTTATTCGCATGAACAGCGCTATAGTGTACACTTAGCAGGAATTATGCATAAGAATTTTTTAAAAAGACAAATTGCTTTGAGGATCAGCCAGCTGCTGCCTACCGCCGAAAGCATGTTTTTTCATTCTTACTTTCCTCCACCAGTCAGAAGA